TAGTCAGCCCTTGTGGGACAAACAGAGAATGATAAATCACTACTACTGACCCCTTGAGCAAGAAGTAATGTTCTCGAAACCGTTAAGACCACCATCAAAGCCAAGCGTGGTGGCGCATGCCTGCAATCCCAGCAGCTCAGGAGGCTGAGGCAGGAGGACTGCAAGTTCAAAGCTAGCCACAGTAATAGCAAGGCACTTAGCAACTCAATGAGACCCTGTCTCTAAATAAAATACAAAATAGGGCTGGTGATGTGGCTCAGTGGTAGAGCACCCCTGAGTTTAATCCCTGGTACACCCCCAGAAAAAGAGATCACCACCAAGACTGTCTTAGTAAAAGCATGGTAGGCGGGCACTCCACCACTGAGCCCTAGCCCTAGTATTCTCTTCTATTTTAAAAAATACCAGATTTCGGGATGGGCTGGATGGCCCTTGAAAATGAGCTACTTTACCTTGTGAGACACTTTCTCCCTGAGGACTGGAGAGCTGGGGCTTCTGGGCCACTGAGTTCCAATACTGAGGCTTCCCCGGCAATACCCCTAGTCCAAGATAACCAGGATAGAGCTCTGGAAACCACTCCAACCCCATGGAGCTAGGAAGCCTCTTTCTTTCAGCAGTACCAAAATAACTGATTAAGGAGCTTTTAGAAAATGGATGCTGAGCTGCATGCAGAGACTGCGGGAACCCAGTGTACAATGCTGGGGGCCCACAGCCAGATCTGGGCTCCAGAATTCGTGCCTCAATCTCAGCTAATAACTTTACACCAGGAACTTGCTGATGATTGCAGAATTGTGCTTTCTCTTCTTGAAGAGATTTTATAACCAGAGAAACAAGACTTTGATTATCTGACTTTGATGCAGAAAGAAACTCACTGTAAGCTACCTCCTGTGGAGTGAACAGAATTGGAAATGGACCTGCATCTTCCAACTTCCCCTCTGAGGCTGAAGCGCCAGTGTTAAAGTGCTCAGAGCCATGGCTCACGGAGGCCTGCTCCTGCACTTCTGTGGCAGACCCACTTCCCTCTGCATTCCCTTTGCTCCCACAGGCTTCTGCTCCAAGGCCAAGTCCTTTTCCTTGGTTCTCCTTGACTTGGATTTCACCTAACGGGCTAACATGAAGGCCCACAGTGGGTGATGCTGACTTCTTTTCCAGAGTCTCAGTGTCACCAGAGGCTCCTGGGAGGCAAGCTTTTCCTCTGGAATCTCTTTCTTTGCTCCACATGGATACTCTTAATCTTTGAACTCCTTTGCTCAGATTCCTTGGAGAACAATCAGCCATGGATACATCTATTAATTTAACTGGAAGCCCTTGTCTTTGGGGATCAATTGTGTCTGATTTCAGATTAACAGAAGTGGCTTGTACCTCATTAGGCAGGGCTGAGGAGTTTTTTCTATCTTGATTTGACAAAGAAAGTTCCACTGGGCCAACCAGTAAATCTGCTTCCATTTCTGAAGGATCACATCTACTTCTCTCTGATTTAAGCCAATCTTGGGCAAGTTCTCTTTCAGCAGAGGTGTTATCTGATGCATCAAGCCGGGCCTTAGTTTCACCTTGGGAAGCTGTCTTTGGTTCAGTGTGCTTTGGCACTGTAAAGGACAGCTGGCTTTGATCCTTTGCAGTATTTGCTTTTTCTGGGCCAACAGCTAATAGTGAAGAGAGCAACAACTGTTCTGATTTGTCCCTTGTCAGTATGGTATTTCTTTCCTCACTCTCTGTCTCTAACTCTCTCCCTTTAGTTTGAATTAAGTCCTTGGTTGGCCCCTTCAGTTTTTTAGCACGTGGAAGTGTAGCTGGCTTGGATGGATAAACTTTCTGATCAGCAGATATGGTTGGTTCTCTCATCTTACAGTATGGCAAGTGAGATTTTAATCGCTTAAATGGCTTCTTACAATAAGGGCACACTTCCATTCTGGGTGGAAGATCACGCATCCTCTTCCTGAAAAAGGCAAACATGAGAAGTGAGGAGCACAGAGCTTGTAAACACCACTATTTGATATATGTGTTTTACCTTTTAAACTCATTTGGAACACCTAGGTTAAAGGAAACTTTAAAATTTTGTTTTCATTCATTCTTTTTTGTATAGAGGCAAAAATCAGAAGACAGACCTTGATATTAGGATAAATATTCCTGGTTCTATTTATGCTTAGTATTTTACTTTTTCTTAAAGTCTTCTAGAAATCTGTTATAGAAAAGACAAAGAGATTTTTTTCAATATTTCTAACAAGAAGGTAACTGTTATGATTTAGATATGGTGTCCCCCAAAACCTCATGTGTGAGACAATTTAAGAAGGTTTAGAGAAGAAATAATTGGGTGATAAAAGTCTTAAGCCAATCAGTGAATGAATCCCCTGATTAACTAAGTGGTAATCGTAGTGGTGGGGTGTGGTTAGAGGAGGTGGGAATTGGGGAGTGGCTTTGGGGCATATATTTTGTATCTGGGGAATGGAGACTAACTCTTTCTGCTTCTTGTGAGCTGCTTCCCTCTGCCACACTCTTCTGCCATGATGTTCTGCATCACCTTGAGCCCTGAGGAATGGAGCTGGCCTTCTATGGACTGAGCCCTCTGAAACCTTGAGCCCTCTAATAAACTCTTCCTCCCCTACAATTGTGCTGGTTGGGTCTTTTAGTCACAGCAGCAAAAAAAACCTAACCAAAACAGTAACTAAGACCTAAAGACTTATATCTAATAAATTAGTGGTTAGTGTAAGGAAAAGATGACCAAAACACCAACCAGAATAAAATGTTTATTTGTTTATATTTTTTGTTATTGCTAAGCAATTGGATGTTACATGAAAATAAATTGTTTAAAAACCATTAAAGAGCTAGGCGCAGGAGCACATGCCTATAAACCCAGGGACTCAGGAGACTGAGGCAGAAGGATCACAAGATTGAGACCAGCCTCAACAAACTGAAAAAGGCCCTAAGCAACTAAGTGAGACCCTGTCTCAAAATAAAAAAAAATATCAAAGGGCTGGGGATGTAGCTCAGTGGTGAAGCACTCCTGGGTTCAATTCCCAGCACAAAAAAAATTACATTATTCAAGGATGGAAAAGTGACCAATTAAACTCAGGTCAGGATCCAAAAATTATTGAATAGAGCAAAGGTTTCAAAAGCAATATATGATGCCAAGCATGATGGTGACACTTGTAATTTCAGCAATGTGGGAGGCTAAGGCAGGAGAATCACAAATTCAGGGCAAGCCATAGTGAGACCATCTCAAAAAAAAAAAAAAAAAAAAAAAAAAAAAATTGTAAGATCCATTGCAGTGGAAGAGGAAATTATTAGAATTCCCATTATCTAGATATAAAAAATGAAGCTCTACAAAATTTAGCATGTTAGTAATATGCATGCACATACATGCATATAAAATGTACATGGGCTGGGGTTGTGGCTCAGTGGTAAAGAGCTTGCCTAGCACGTGTGAGGTCCTAGGTTCAATCCTCAGCACCACATATAAATAAATAAAATAAAGGTATTGTGTCCAACTACAACTAAAAAATAAATATTAAAAAACCCCACAAAACTGTAAATGTACATATAATGCACAAACACCTATGTGAAGAGACATGGTCCCCAGTTATGCACTCAAAGTTTGTATTATGACAATTATTGACAAACTTGCTTCATTTAACATCTTTGTTAAACACATACTATGTAAAAAAGTTTTAATGCACTTACACCGTGCATTATTTACACCTCTTTGATATACCCTAAGAGTTGAGAAAAGAAAAGTGTTTAATCCCAGAGTTCATTTGAAAGTTACTTCTTTTAAAAACCTTTTTGTTCCTATATAGTTCCAGAGGGCAGGGAACGCGTATCCTGCGTTCAAAACCCAGCACTGAGCCTGGCATGCAACATGTTGAATGAATTCTTTCTCCAAACATAATTACACTGTACCGCAACTGAGAATATCGTCTGGCCATTACATAGATCAGAAGGCAGAATCTGAGGTCACAAAACAAATATCCACGTAACCTACACGAAGTCATGCAAAACGAAACCGTCCCCTGCCAGTTGGGCCCAGCGACGATTCTTTCTTCGGAAGAACACGCTGACAGTATGTTGGAAGCCACGGACCGTTTACTTACCAAACACCGCCGGAGCCATCCCGTCGGAACCGAGAGACTCCGTTGGACGGGTCGGCCTCCACAGCCCTCCCGCCTCACCCACCTCCGGGAGGACCTCGGCCTTCGCACCGCGCCGTCTCCCCGTGGGCGGGAGCCTGCTCTTACCCGAGCTCCTCTAGCAGAGGCGGCGGCTAGTTCTGCGGCTGCTTCTGCCAGATCCCATGCTCTCTCTCCACCGCTCCGTCGGGCCGAGGAGACTTTACCGCCAGTCTGTGTAAGACACCGAGTCAACTGGACAGCACGCGCAGCTGGGAAACCGCTGCACCGGAAGTCGCCGCAGCGGCGAGTCGGGCTCAGCAGCCCCGCCCACCTACACGCCATCTCCGCGCCCCCTGCCGCGGGCACCTCTTCGCCCCGCCCCCTCCAGCAGGTGGGCGGGACCCGAGGGCTCAGCGGGCCTCTCCGCCTCGCCGTCCCGCTCTAGCCTCGGGTCTCCCCCCAGTCCTAGAGCGCGGGCCGTGGGAAGCAGCTTCACCCTTGGGGACTCGCCGCCGAGCAGCGTCGGCACCTCCGCACACCTGAAAGTCCGGGCAGCGCCGCGTCGACCCTGGGCAGCCCGCGTGCGCCTTCCAACCCCCAGACCCGGGACCCGCGGCAGGCATCCGCGCCGCTGCCTGATGGGGCCCGCCTAAGTCTTCTGAAGCGTTACCAAACAGGGATTCAATTAAAATACTTGTGTCAATTATTGAGGCATAAGTTAATGTATTTTCAACCTGGTTGGAGTTTGACTCTATTCCGTCCTGGCTGTGAACAGGCGAACGCTCGGGCCACCTCCGACAGGGTCCGCTCTCCCAGAAGCTCCAGTCGCACCTCCCCCTGCGAGCCCGCCTTTTCCTGTGGGCGGGGTTACCGGTCAGCGCGGCCGGCTTTGCGCCACTGCGCAGCCGCAAGGGGGCGGTACCACGGCGGCTGCGACATGGGGGGGCGCGGAGGAGACGCCGGAAGTAGCGGTGGTACGGGTCCGACAGAGGGGTACTCACCGCCCGCAGCGTCCACCCGCGCGGCGGCGAGAGCCAAGACCCGAGGGGGTGGGCGTGGCGGCCGCCGGAACACAGCCCACCCTGTTTGCACCTCGCGCCGGGCGGCGCCGCGTCGCTCCTCTCCACCAGCTGCCATGAGCGAGCGCCTCCGCCCCAGGTGAGAAGGGATCCCCTTCCTGCCCGGCCCCTCGCCTGGGGGCTGCGGGGATGGGGCCGGGGGGCGCGCGAAGCGGGGATCTGCGAAGCCTGGGCGCTGCGAGGCTCCGTCAGGCTGCTCTGCGGCGGGGAGGCGGGGAGAGGGATGCGCGAGTGGCCGGGTGCCCGGTCCTGTGGGTGCCGGAGCGGGGACTCCGGGTTCAGCGTTGTCCTCTTTCCTTCTTACATCTTCGGCTGTCTTTTCCTGCTTGGGAGGCGGCCTGTCCGATGCCGGGGGAGAGACGGTGGCCCTGAAGGCTCCTTGTCCTAAATTTGGGCGGGTGGGGGGATGGGAGGAATGCCTGGTCTCGGAGGGGCAGCCCCGGGGCGGGCGCTGCGCCCTCCCAAGGTCAGGAGCAGGGGGTCGGCCTGACCCTGCCGCAGCGGGGCTCCGGAGGACGCCGCGCCGCCCCGGTCGGTTGTGAAGCTGGAGGGGAACAGCCCGGTGCTGTGGTCTGGGCTGTGGCTGTAACAGGCAGCGTTCTAAACTGTTCGCACGTCGGACCGTTTGGCTCCGAAGGCGAGGTGGGCACTGCCTGGCCCCCCAGCCTGGTCTCAGCTGGGATCTCATTATTATTATTATTGTTATTATTATTATTATTCCCTCCGAGAAGGCAGAGAGGAGAAAGTTTGGATGTATTACCCCAGAGTGAAGAAGATCCGCTTTATTTCAGATTAGAGAAATCCCTCATCGTGGAGCTTGAAGTGAAAACCTGTAGATCTCCAAGTCCAACTTTCTCTTCTTCAAGGAAACAGATTTATAGAGATCAGTCGATTTATCCTGGTCTGTCCAGGTTCACTGCCCTTTAGTCCATAGTAGTTTCAGGCCTAAGTAAGATGGATCATAGGATTGCCTTCCTAGATGATGCTGGATCTTTTTTTGTTCCTGGTTTTCATTGGCTGTGAGTGTAATTGGCATTCTTTCCAAAGGACGCTTCTCCGGAACACACTTATTTCATGGCATTGAAGTTATCATAGGGCTCCTCAGCCTGCATTGGATTATTAATTTTGGTCATGAAGCAAGTGGGGCATAAAGCATCTAATTGTACAGAAGAGAAGAGTGGACTAAATTTGAATTTATAAGGTGCCTGCCAAAATTATAACCTGGTCTGTGACATTAATGCCAAAAGTTATAATCTGTCCCAATAGGTGCTAATTATTAATAGGATTGTTGAAACGTTTGAATTAGGCCAAATTGAAATTATGGCCCAATTACAGATATGCCATCAGAATTAGGAACAGGATCTTAAGATACAATAAGCTTGATCTGATATTTTTTGCTTCCCAAACCCAGTTTGTAGTTCTGATACTTTTTTTGTGTGTGTTGTCTCACATATTTGAAGAAGTCTAAATAATTTCCTGCAAAAATTTTTTTTCCAGTACTATGCACAAATAATCTGAATGTGTTTATCCAGATAGTAGATTTCTTTTATTTAGTATGTATACAAATAATCTGGACATGTTTATAATGGTAACTTTTTAAAAAGAAGTAATCTTTTTTTTGACAGGCTTTTCTTGCCTGTTTTTCACTTCATCTTGCATTTAGGGAGGGTCATGAACCAGCTCTGCCAGTTCATTGCTCTGTCTTACCATTTCCAACTCAGTTCATTTCTTTGTATCTCTTTCTGCGATTTTGAGATGAAGGGTTGATCCAAGATGATGATTTTTTTTTTCCTACTTGTTCCCCACAGTGCTGATAACTATTGAGAGGTGTCTAGTGAAGGAGTCCCTACTTTAAAAAAAAGATCCTTATCTATATATACTCAGAGTTTCTTGTCTCAGAAAGAAACAAGATTTTACATTATTTTTTAAAAAGTTTGAATCCCAGCCTCATAGTCTAAGATTACTTCTCAACCCCTGGAGGATGATAGGAAGGTTGGAGATAAATAAAATGACAAAATAGTAGAATCAGCCATTGTGTGAAGTAACAGATGCCAAACAGTCATCTGTACCTAGATGGTGAGGGGATAATAGAATCAATGACAGGGTGCCTGCCAAAATTATAACATGGTATATGGCATTAATGTCAGAAGCTATAATCTGATTGTACTGACAGATGAGCATGAAGCAGTAATCTTGGCCAATTAGCAAGACTGGTGAAAGCAGAATGTTTTAAAGATGGACTCTACTAAGAGCCTAGGAAAGGGAGAATGAGGAATAGGTACTATTCATTCGTAATCCCTTACTACCTGAAGGAGAGGATCACCCACACACCAGAGAGATAATGTTAGTACCTTGAGAATCAACCTATTATGAAGCAGGAATATTTATGTGGCTTTCCCAGGGTTTAGTTAAAATTTAAAAGCCCATCTACTTAAGACTTTTTTTTTTTTTCTATACAACCTCCTTGACATTCTTGTCACTGGAAAGATACAGCCCCTGTTATAAATGAGGAAATGGCAAATTTTAGTCAGGCTCATAAGTTTGGTTAGAGTGAGTCAGCAACCCAAAGTATAATCAGCTGTTGACATACTGATGAAACCAGCGCTCAGGGACAGCATCCTGCCATTCAGTGACTTTCTCTTTGGTGTCAACTGACTCCCAGCAGATAGTGTTTTGCTACTGCTGCACATTCCCACTTAAATTCTCTGATCATGTTGTTATGAAAGAAGTTTCCTGGTCCAAATTTATGATGATAAGACATTCATTTAATGATTAATTCGGAATTCATCTAGTTTTAACCTCCAAGTACATAAAAAATAACATGCAAATAAGATCTAACCTAAATGATGGTCTTACTTTACAAATAACTGAGTCTCAGAATTAGGTAAATGGTGAAGCCCACGGTGTTGCGGGTTGTTTAAAGCTTAATCAGTGTCACACAACTCACTTTATCATTCCAGATCTACACTGGGGTCCATAATCATTAATAAAGTTAGAAGTATTTCAAATGTGCAGAGTACAGGGAACTGAGCTGGGAGTGATAAAGTTTGTAGAACATCCAGATTTCAACTCAAAACCTTAGGATCAAGGGCATCATAGTAAGCCAACTCTACCCTCATATGAAGTTGATAATTGTATAGAGGATACTGTACCCCATATACTTTCCAAAAAGCAGTTTTCCTCTCTCTCACTAGCCTCTTGTCTGTTAACTATAGAAATTTGAGGGTTGGGGATGTAGCTCAGTTGGTGGAGTGTTTGCCTTGCTTGTACAAGACTCTGGGTTCAATCCCCAGTACCATACACACACACACACACACACACCAAAAAAAAAAAAAAAAAATTGAACGTTTAAGCATTAATAACTAAAATTAGAATATATTTTCTTCATAATATATGCTGTGTGTTGTATATGTGACCTCTAGCAGATCCTACCCAACAGAGCTTTCTGCAGCAAAGGGAACATTCTCCATCCGTGCTGTTCAGTGCAGGAGACATTGACTACACATGGCCATTTTGTACTGGAAATGTAGTGTGACCTGGGAACTGGATTTTTAATTTTATTTAAGTTTAAAGAACTATATGGTTAGAGATTACCATATAGGACTGTACTATTGGGGTTAGGGTTTAGAAATCTTTTGATAGCACTTAATTCTTGCATAGAGTGCATGCTATTTTGTCTCTTATATTTCTAGGAGCACTTGCCTGAAAAAGATGAGTTTTCTTCAAACCCGTAAATTTTAAGCAGCTGATGCTGTGGTCTCAAAGCAACAACCTAGTAAAGTGCAGTGACTGTTATATCATAATAGAGCATGGCCAGACCAGCCAGGCCAACGTGGCTAAGAGTTGCTCCCCTAGTGATTGCCCAAAAGAGTATTCAAATCCTCTGGAGGGCACAGAGGTTTTGTTTAGTGTGATAATTGGGGAAAGTCAGGGATGCAGAAAACTAAAGATCAGAGGCTGCCATGAATCTGTGATATTCCTGTGTGGCACCATTTTTAATCAGGATTTTCTGGGCAAATAGTCAAAAGCAGCCACTCATCTCTTCAATGTTGTCGTATGGAAGGAAGTAAAGTTAGGTAATTTGAAATTGTCATTTCAGAGAACATGGAAAGAAGAAAACTTGGAGTTTGAAAGCTTAGTCATTAACCTCTTCTTATTTTGTTCCCAGCAGACTTTGGAAGTTGTCAGGCTTCTGTTTAGAAATTAGTCTTACTAATTTAAGCTTGTGCTGCTGCTACTTTATATTTTTGCTCTTAGGGCCCAGTGATGGTAATACTTCCAGCTTCTACCTTTTGGGATATCATGTGGTAAATTAAATTCTCTCAGGCATCAGGGCAAATTTATATGTTGTCATGTTTAAGTGTAAAAGATCAATTCTTGGATTTTTCTTTCCCTTCCTTGTATTTTAATTTCAGGAAAAGAAGAAGGAATGGCAATGAAGAAGATAACCATCTTCCCCCCCAGACCAAAAGGAGTAGTAGAAACCCTGTTTTTCAGGATTCCTGGGACACAGAGGTAGGAAATGTGGTCATAGACTCTGGGTTGTTTTCGCTGCTTAAGCTAAATAACCCAGTTTATGTTGTGTAATTAAAAGAAATTAATTTATTCAGAGAACAAAAGCAATCTTATTTAATTGAAGTGGTTTCAACTCTTTTTCTTCTTATTTGAATCATGTCCCCTTTGAGGAAATTATTTACTCTCTTCCCAGCAAAGCAGTATATGCTTTTGCATGTATTCTCCCTCCCCACCCCCAACATACACACCCCACATAAGTATTTATAGAAGTGTCATGGACCTTTGAAAACCTATCTTTAAACACTTATTTTATAGTTCAGCAACCAGTAAATGTCCTTACGATAGCTATATTTTGTTGCTTGAATTCACTAGAGACTTTAAGTGTGCAGATTATATAAGATGTATGGAAGATATATTATGTATGCAAGATGCCATTTTGAAGTGTTTTTACTTTTCATTATGTTCTAGAAAGAACTTGGTCCATCAGGTGGAGGGGGGTATTGGATGGAGGGAAGTACTCTTGAAGTTTTCTACGACTTCAGTTTCCTGAAAGAATGCTTCAGTATGCACAATGGAGAGAATGTTTTGTGTGATTAGAAGGCTACTTTATGGTGGGGAAAGAAAGCCAATGTTAACATAAATTATGCCCCTAAAAATTTTGACCCTTAACAGTTGTCACATTAAGGGAGAAATGCCATAATGACAGAGTCCTAAATCACAGCCTTGTACTTTCTAGTAGAATTCTCAACTAGAATGAATTATACTTTAATTAGTTCTCAGTAACAAGATTAGGCCTATATCCTCTTTTCTTACCAGCAGTCCAAAGTCACTCTCCCAAAGGGGAAAATCAGTTACTCTCATGTAGGAACAGTTAACAAACAAGTTGAGATGAGAATCTTCCTTCTGTGGAGAGTAGTTCCCATAGCCTTTTTTGTCTCTTTTAAAAATCTTACCTGCTTTTTTCATTTTATTTTTTTATGATTAATAGAAAAGTAATTGAGCTTTCATTCAAAGTGATATTTGGGGGATCTCAGGAATGAAAGAAAACCAAAGATTAGAGGCTGCTATGAACATCTTATGGTAGAACTGTTGAACAGTGATGGAGTTTCCATTACTCTTTTGATTTGTGGGACTATCATTGAGGGAGATGTAGACAGAGATGACTTTCTACAGCATCGGTATTTCTTTCCTAGATCTGTATGTAAACTCTGCTGTCTGATGTTCACTTTGGTTCCAGGGAGTAGAAGGTCTAACTCTTTGTGTATTAATCATTTCCCCCTGTCTGTAGTTTTGATGACTGAGAACAGAGAAATGACTATCTTTTTGTTTTTTTTTTTACATTAAACATTTCAGTTATTTTAACTGAACCAGACACATTCGGGTTAGTTTTGTTGTTATTGTTTTTGGTCTTGTAGAAAATGGCCTTCACTCAATTCTAAAATCTATACATCAGTATCAGAAGAAAACAGTGTGTTGTTCATTAACCTCTTGGATCATGTATCTTTTTCTAACTTGTCTAAAGACATTGAGCTGTCGAACCCCTCTGTGATCATTTCTCTACAGTATGAAGTAGATCATCTTCATTATGATTTAAGGTCTGTAAGGTGGTTTTTATCTGATCCCTCTGATGGTCAGGGTCAGCTCATGGGGTATTGTAGCCATTAGGTCCAGACTCTCTGACTGAGCATTTGTCAGTGCCGCCTCAGTGATGGCATTAACAAGGAGTGAGGGTATATGAACTGGGTGAGAGCTGGAGAGGCAAAAGGCAGGGGAATCTCTTAAGATGGAAAGTTAAGCCCTGAATCATTGAGGTTTCTCTCCTGCAATACGTTCTTTTTATTTTTTTGCAGTACTGGGGATTGAACCCAGGGCCTCACACCTTCTAGACAAGTGCTCCACCACTGAGCTGCATCTCCAGCCCTGGAATAGAGTCATATGTTTGTAGCACAAAAACAAGTTTAGAGGTATTTGGCTCCTTTTTGACAATTATGTAATTAAAAGGGAAAGTAATGTTATTAATTTTGTTAATAATTTATATATTAAAGTATTATTAACATTATTAATAAAAGGGTTACTTTTAATTCTCAGCTGGGGCCAGTTTTCCTTAGACAAACTCAGATTAAGAGGAACTATTCCTTGTGCCTTTCCTGAAATAACTTAATTCTGAAATTTGTTTTCTTATAACTTGAATGTTTATTTGGGAGAAATTTGTTTAAATACTAAGAAAGATTTAAAATTGTTACTTGTAACAAATTTTCTGAAAGTTACTTTTCTCCCCTAAATGTAATAATATTGGCAGATACTGGGAAAGTTTGGCTTATGTTGAAGTGTGTCATAAGGAACTCTGTTATCTGTAAGTTGGAGAGAGTTCCTCTTTCCTGGATGTTGTGTGGATCAAAAATGTGAAGTGATTTGTCATGTTAATTAGGTCGAGAGAGAGACTGTATATTTTCTTCCTCCCATTTTAGTAGGAGAAGAAAAAATTTCCACTTTCCTGATGGAAAAATTGGGGACACAGAAAAACAGTCACTTGCCCAAAGATACCCGTTCAGTAAGAGGTGGAGAAGGAGCTGGGCCCTGGGGCTTGACAGTATAGCCTCTTGCTCCTAAAGGTGATATGTGCTACCTCACAGAAGATAGGAGACACGTCCAGGAAGCCAGGTCCCAGGCTCCTTTTGAATCATAGCAACAGAAGAATCATTTTCCTCCATCTTTTCTTTCTTGTGCTACCAGGGATTGAACCCAGGTATGCTCTACCACTGAGCTAAATCCCCAATTACACTCCCCCCCCCAGCCTTTTTTTAAAAAATATTTTTTGAGGTAGGGTCTCATTAAGTTGCCCAGGCTGCCCTGGAATTTATGAACCTCCTGCCTCAGCCTCTCATAGCTGGGATTACAGGTGTGTTTCCCATACCTGGTTCCCCTAAGTATTTTTCCAAGTAAATGCCTTGGTATAGCATTGGTTGGAAAGCATTTTTAGATTTCTATCAAAAAGAAGAAATTAGGGTTTTTTCTCCAAACTCTAGTTGGTGCTTGAAGACTGATTTATTTATTTATTTATTTTGATGGTGCTGGAGAACCCAGGGCCTTGTGCAGGTAAGGCAAGCATTCTGCCAACTGAGCTATATCCTAAGCCCCTGAATTTTAAGTTTAGGAACAAGCCTTAGGATACTGTTTTTTTAATTGAGGTATAATTTGCTACCAGTATATTATTAATTTGTTGTTGTTGTTGTTGATAAATCATTCCAGATGAATCGTGTTAGCCTAAGTTAGGCTTGGTTTTCCTTGGTGAGCAAGAAGTAAAATGATTTGTCAATTTGGGACTTCCCAGTGGGTCTTAGATAAAGGTTGCAGTATTGTCTTATCTTGAGGAGCTCTTTGGATGGGTAGAAACTGGCTAGATTTTACTTAGTTGTATTTGTTCTCTTAGAGGCTGCCCTTTGCAGTTGGAATTGTATCTTTATGTGTAGTAGGAGGAAGGTTCTTTACCTTCAGTTTTAATGTCTTTATCTACAGATGACATTAGCAGTTTCCATGTATTATCTGGCTTCTGATAATTAGATATATGCTTTATAAAAAGTACTTGTATTTTTTTTTTTTCTTTTTTGATACTGGGAATTGAACTCAGGGGCACTCGACCACTGAGCCACATCCCCAGCCCTATTGTGTATTCTATTTAGAGACAGGGTCTCACTGAGTTGCTTAGCGCCTTGCATTTGCCGAGGCTGGCTTTGAACTTGCTATCCTCCTGCCTCAGCCTCCTAAGCCACTGGGATTCTGATTTTTTCCCCTTTATTTTATAATTGAAAATGAAGTCATATAACATGAATACTTGATACATAATTTCCTTAAAACTTCTCTATGGTGAAACAAAAGTGTACATAATTGAAGAGTATATATAGTATAAACATGACAATTTCAAACCAACTATTGATATAGTTTTAAATTACCGTTAATTGTGGCTATGTTTGAAAAAAGAAATGTGCAAAGCTTATTAGGGACCAGCATACCAGAAATATTTAATTTTTGAAGTAAAAATCTAAAATGTTGCACAGTTCAAAAAGGGGCATTGTTTGAAGATACTGTAAACTGTCGTCTCTTAGAAGTTTCTTAAAAATATTCAGTACTTCCCCTGTAATGACTAACGAGCATTTCCATTGACTACTTTTTGCTGAAAGTGATTAAGGACAAAATGTAGAAATTCTTGTTGCTTATTTATTTTTTGAGGAGGGGGTACTAGGGATGGAACTAAAGGGCCCTCAACCACTGAGCCACATCCTTAGCCCTATTTTTTATTTTATTTAGAAATAGGGTCTCATTGAGTTGCTTAGTACTTTGCCACTGCCTCCCAAGCCACTGAGATTACAGGCTTGCTCCACTGCACCTGGCCTGTGGCTTTATTTTTGATAAATTGTTATTAAGTTCTCATTAGGAGTTCTTTAGACATTATACCAGGTTGTCTCGGCCTTCTGTTCACACACACACACACACACACACACATATGCATCTTTTTCAAGTAAAGCAGTGTTTAATATAAACTGTTGGCAAATATATGTAAACAATCTTTGTCATCAAATATTGATACATTATCTCGCAGATTATTGCTTTCAAGTTAAAATGCTAGAAACGAATGCCAGTAGCAGTTCTTTTAAGGAATGTTATATAGTGCCATATTAAGATGTAAATTCTTTTGGCTTTTAATTCTTAAAAGAATGATAATAGCAAAAGTGATGTGAAATGTTCAGTGTGAGGTTATGATTAAGCTATAGTTTACAAAAATAAAGTCAGATGATAATGATCCTATTCAGCATCCTGGATTAGATCCCTTTAGGTGGGACTGATACTTGATACAGTCAAACTTTAAAGTAGACAAAGGCAGTTTATACTGCCATTGAGAAAGACATCTTTTGGCATACAATTCTCAGGCCATAGTTTTGAAGATCCTAAAGTATCAAGTTGGTTTGATGAACTAGTGGCACTTATGAATACATTTATTGCCTTGCTACCTTTACATGTTTTTAGAGTATCACTGCAACTTTTGTAGTACATTACAGATTTTTTTCTTTTGGTGTTCAAGTGCCCTGCAGTTCTGCTATTGATGTTTCTTGAAGACATTATTTACTGGATTGAGAAGTTCTTCTGTTGCACTAGCTATATCATTGATTGCAGAAACCTTGCTCTGTCACTGGTCTCATCTGGGAGCTTACTGAGAATATACTTAAGTGCTTCTGTCTTTTAATTTTGGTCTGGAATTCTGGCTTGGTCATTGTCATATACTCTTCTCCATCATCAGCTGCCATATGAAGAAGGGTCTCCATGAAGTTAATGTCTACACTTTTTTTTTTTTTTCTCTAAAATTTTCATAGTGGTATCTTGTGTGAAACCTGGATTTTCTTTTTCAGCCTTAATGGAAGTGGCTTTCGATGTCTGAGATGCAGACGAATGTATTCTTTCTAGCTCATTAAACACAGGATACTTAACCTAGAGGGGCATAGAAACCTTGGAAGTGGTCTCAGCTTTATTCTTCATTTCTTCCATTGTTAACCTCCTTCATAAGCCAAATATAGTAGAAAAAGTAATACTACAATGCAGAGGAATTTATTCACTGCAGTGTTTCTTCTTTTTTTTTTGTGAGCTGTGAAACACTGGGCACAAAATGTACACTGATAGGCACTGAGCCCTGACTTCACTTCCCACCTTTGGAGTCCTCTTCAGCTCCCGAGTCAAGTCACTCTGGCAATGCTGGAAGGACCCCATCACCTGCATTTTCTCACCTTGCTCATTTAGAAAGTGGTTTTAATTAATCCACTGAATTAATTTGGAATCTTATGATCTCACTAGTGTGAGCAAACCTTGAGCTTTCTGAAATTATTGGGCACTTGCACATGCTTTAATAGACTTGTCTAGGATTGTCTCTCTCATTTAGTTCAGATCCTGCAGTTCCCCTAGAATGAAAATGAGCCTCATTATGATTCCAGAGAATATATTCTGTGAGTAAGATTTCTTTTTTTCTTTTGAGACTCATGTAAAGAGCACCAGTGAATGGGAAAATGGAGGTGGACGAAAATAAAAATATTAATGTTGATCTGCTTTTCTGATTAAGAGGAGAAAACATGATTCTAGATAATAAATATACTCATATATACATTCTGGTTCTGTTTTTACAAAGTAGAGAGATTTTAACTGTTAATATTCCTGCCTGGGCAGCTTTCTAAAGATTATTAGGAAAAATAGTCTTTAGAGGTATTTGGTTTCTGCCATGGGCATAAATGGGTTCTCTTTTGAACTGACTTCACACCCTAGAAAAATAAAATCAAAGGCAGGCCTTACTGCCGCACCAGGAGTTCTTTATCTTCCTTCCTAATTCTTCTCTTTGCCTCATTTTCTCCTCTGCTTCCTCTCTTCTCCAGCATTACCCCCTGCCGGCTGTGTTGTCCACAGCCATGAGGGTACTTTCTCATCAGCCTGCCCTCCTTCTCTGTGTCTGGCTTCCTCCTCGGCTCCTCCTTTACACGAGGTTCACCAGTGGTCTTTCCATTGAGGAGATGTGTACTGAGCAGCTGCTATTAGCCATGCATGTTCTGGATCCTCCAGGTCAGCTGGATGTTTCCTTCTGCAGTCCCTCCCATCCTCCTCTGGGGTGTGGCACATAGATTTCACATTCCCACAGTGGCTTGGGCCTGCCTCCTGCTGTGTGAGGAAATCTCCCAGTGGGGCTCTTTTCTGTCTCCTTCACCTCATCTCTCACAGATCCCTGGAGTCCTTACTCCCAAGATTAAACCTGAGTGTGGCTTATTTGCTTAGAAATTCTTTCTGCATGCAGATTCCAGGAGTCTTGCCATTTGGTTGTGTTTCTCTCACCAACTCTTGCTGTGAGCCCAGTCACACCACACTATTAGATCTTCCTCTCCAGAATACTCCTCTTTTGACTTTGCTCTTGTTCTCCAGTTTGTCATTTCCTGCCTATAAAGTCTTCCTCATCCTTCTAGGCCCAACACATACCATTCACGTAGGAACCTCTCCCCATTGTTGGAATTCTTTCACTTTGGTGGCCTTGGACTGTGGTTATCAGTGGATGCACTGCCACCATTTTCTTCTTGAATCAAGTTCAGCAAATATTAACTGAATGACTGAGCAGCCCCAGTGAAATGCCTCCTGCTGAACCTGTGATTGTTCAGCGGTTAGACATGCCCTGCCATTGACCAGGTGTGGTCTTACAGTGGGACCTGGCATGTACACTTAAGCCAAAGGTGATTCCACAGTGGACTGTGAGGACAGTTTTTTGGTTTGTTTTTTTGTGGGTCTCTCCCAGGTATCTGCATTTACAAGATTATGGTAGACTTTACTGTTGCCTAAGATAATGTAGAATCCTCCCCTTTTTAAACAGATCTTCAAAACAGCACTTTTTTGAGTTGCTTTTGTATATTGTATGGGGACGTTTTTGGTCAGAGTTTTCATCAACTTAGTTTGCTTATGTTCATGAATTTGCAAGTGTCTATTATTTCACACATTATGATCTTATTCTGATTGGTAATATGAATTTCTCCTGAAAATACCCTAGTCAGTGAGCTTTGTAATGCTAAGATAGCAGTTTTAACTTTAAGGACCACACACTATCTGATACCATCCACCTCAAGCAATCTTATATTAAAAAGCATCATCAGGTGAGAGCAGTCTGATTTTTTTCCTAGTTCAAGTTTTTTGTTTTAGATGATAAACCATTTTGCCTTTGTGTATGCCTTTAAGGCACTAATAGATACTTCAAATTCAGTGTTAATGCCTTTGAGGTTAAAAGTAAATGTTCTTTTCTTTTTCCCATAAAGCAGACCACTTTTTCCACAGTGTTCCAAGATCAATTACTATAATTTTCAAACTTTTTCAGCCCTGTCCCATTGAAAAGTGCTGTATTTTGTGACTGAATACATAACAATTATATTTGTGAATCATTGAAGAAAGCCTTCACGGAGGAGTTATGCTTACCAGGTTGTACTGTGTTCTTCCTTTAGCCTGGTTGTATCTACCAATGTGTTTCACCCCCAATTTGAAAAATCCTGGCCCATCTGTAGACTGTGAGGTATTCCCAAAGCCTCTCCCATAGTGAGAACCCTGGACTGAGCTGGCAGAAAAAGCTGAGTGCCTTCGAGAGACATGTATTTATTTATTTATTATTATTTTTAAAGATAGTATCTGAAATGTGTGTGTTGGAATGGCTTTCTGTTCTTCTTGATTGAGGTTACTTTTAGTGATGCATGTTTCTAAAGCCACATCCTTCTGGAAGCCTTGCTTTTCCTGTAGGCTGGCAGAGAACAAGAGCATCCACCACACAGAACTACCATATGTGCATGGCTAAATGGGCATAAATGGCTTTTAGCATCTTGGGCCTTTCACCTCCATGAAGGGGGACACGGAGCTTTGCTCTGATGGAGCTATTTGCCTCTTCTCAAGATGAGGGATGAAGAAGATCCTTTGCAAAAGACATGTTCTCCTGAGGAGTCATCACTGCCAGAAAGCTCTAGAAGTTCTTTAGTTAGGGGGATAAACCAGTCTTCCTAAAGAGTTTCATGACAGGATCGGTACTTTAAGAGTCTCAGTCTTAAGATGGAAGTAAGATGTAGTAGCAGTTAGTTCACTTGCTCACGATCAAATTTTGTCCTCAAATTACTTTTTTTTTTTTTGTAGAAAATAAATTAAAAATAGAAGATCCAGTTCTAAATGCTTTGTCACATACATCCTTCCATACTGTTTGTGATAGGCATGCACATGGGTATACATTAAAAAAGAAAAGCTTTTAAAAACCAGCTGACATATACTAAAAACAGATATAAAAAATGTTGAGACTCTTTTGTGTTAGAACAAGTTTATTTCTACCATCATTGTTAATGCTGGATATAATTCCGTAGTATGTATGTATATAACGGATGTATTAAAATTTAACCAGTCCCCTATTGTTAGATATTTGGGGTGGTTTCCAGTTTTTAGCTATTATAAATAAGGCTACAATAAACACTTCTTATACATGTCACTATAAAATTTTAAGTTTTTTTAAAATGAAATACAAATTTCAAGTATACTTAGCCTCTTTTTAAGTAGTTACTCTATTAAGAATCTTTTCAGTGGTTTATTTTAAAGAATTTTTACTTTTCTAAGTAGTACTTTGCTTCTGTAGTGTGAAATAAATATAATGTGAGATAAAAATTTGACTTCCTTCAAACTGATTCTAGTTCTTGCCTTAATTTTCAGACAGTACCTGTAACGAAAAACAGTAAAGAAAACAGACTAAGAGGAAGCAAAGCGTTCTGCGCGGTGGGTTTCTGATCCAGTGTAGTGACCTATTCAATGAATGACCTATTCATTCCTGAGTTTCCTAAGGGGTATGTGGCTATCCTAGGTTGTTATACTAGGTTAGGAGAGGTCTTTGTAGAGTAAAATTTTTTTTCGAATTGGCTTTTGACTTCAAAAGTGATTCTGGCATAAACTGGACATGGTGGCACATGTTTGTAATCCCAGCAACTTGGGAGGCTGAGACAGGAGGATAACAAGTTCAAGGCCTGCCTTGGCAAATTGATGAGACCCTGTCTGAAAATAAGAAATGAAAATGACTGGGGATGTAGCTCAGTGGACAGTGTTCTTGAATTCAATCCCCAGCAAATCCCCACCCCCACCCCAAATAAAAGTGATACTGACATAAATTAAATGTGCACACACATGTATATGTATGTACTATTTTTATAATGAACATTTAATAATCACATTACAAAAAAGTTATAGTAAAGGATGGAAAAAATAAGTAACTGTAATCCTTCCATTCTAGTGTAACTCCTATGATTTGTTTTCGAAAGTACTTTATGTGATAAGCAGATATTTCAAAACCAGTGTCTTTGTCTAAGGGTAAAGTTGAGTTTATCAAAGGGCCAAGTTAAAAACAACCTTTGTATCGGATCATTATTAGAATCATAATTTTCTTGTGATTGATTAATTCTAGTATAGTTCAGGTAATTAGGGAAAGGAATTGCTAAGCAGGGCATATTCAAACACCATGTTAACATACAAATGCAAATTGTAAAATGCCATAATTCTGAAATGGATCCTTGGCACTACCTTCCATTTTATAAGTCCTACTGTCAGAAGGTGGGCATTTCAGAGTGACTTGACTTTGATCCAGGGACCTCTGAGTGTCTTCAATATGATTAAAACACTTAAGTCATGTTATTTTTGATGAAAATTTATTTTTGTTGAAAATTTAGCGTGCTTGTACATATACATATGCATACTGTGCAAAAATGCCAATATAACTTTATAAGAAGTATATTTTGTATCCTGAGTGGTTGTAGAACACCATTGTATCTGGATGAGAGATGATCACAAAATTGGCATAGTTTATCTTGTGCACTTGTGCCCAGAACCCATCTCATTAGTAATAGGGGACCCTACTTTTTTCATTTTTCTTTTTTATACCCTGTACCAGTGACTGATACTTCTCCTTGTAGGCTGAGAACTTCTTTCTTTGGTTATTGGAATGAATGGTAAAAGCAGAGAAGATCTATGTAAAGGAATAAAGATATAATTGAAGCACTGGGCATGGTGGTGTATGCCAGCTGCTTGGGAGGCTGAGGCAGGGAGGATTGCAAATTCCAGGCCAGCCTGGAAAACTTAGCTAGACTGTCTCATAAAAATTGAAAAGAGCTAGGGATGTAGCTCAGTGATAGAATGCCTTGGGTTCAATAGCCAGTACTACACACCCCCCCACACCACCACCAAAAAAAAAAAAAAATAAAGTAATTAAATGATGTGGAGTCGGAAGGTCTGTGCTTGAATCTGGATGCACTGTCTTCCAGGGCTGTGTCACAGGGGTGATCTATCTCACTTTACAGCAAGGCTGTTGTGAGGATAGAATGCAGTGTCTTAGGTGAATGGCTTTATTTTTATGAACCTGAAAGCCGAGTTATGTGCTCATGTCAATACTCTTGGAGCTGAATGGGAAGAAAACTCTTAATAGGGCACGTGCAGTAAAGCTCTTATGCAGGAACAAGTGTATGCTAACCCTGGCTCTTCCTTTTCCTTTCAGTCTTCAAGCAGTGACAGTGGTGGGAGCAGCAGCAGCAGTAGCAGCATCAACAGCCCTGACAGGGCCAGCGGGCCAGAGGGCAGCCTAAGCCAGGTCATGCCCGGATCCAGCCCCAATACCCCTCAGCCCATGCCTGAGCAGTCTGCACTGTGCCAAGGCCCTTATTTCCACATCAACCAGACCCTGAAGGAGGCCCACTTTCACAGCCTACAGCACCGAGGACGGCCTCCGACATGATGCGTGGGCAGTTTCTTGCCTTCTGTGAAGGGACAGCGCTGTGCAGATTTGATATTTCAACTTACAGTTTGTTTAAAAAAAAATTGCACACAAAAAATGCCTGTTGGCTTTTCAGTCTATATTTGAAATAACAGGTTAACAGGCAATTGTTTACTTGTGGTTTTGCTGCACTATTGCAATTTCAAAGGGGCTTTGAAGCAATTTTTTTATAGGATTCTTTTGAGGGAGGGTATCAAATCCATGTCAAGGAAGTGGTGTGAGGAAATCTCATCTGTGTGTTGCATCCATAGTGTGTCCAGTTCAGACTGATCTTCAAATCTGTCAATTAGAAGTTCTACTTTATGTAAAGGGCCTTTTAAAAATGCGGGATCTTCAATTTTTTAATTCAATAAACTAGTAAAGAGTATCTAGTTTCCATGAAAAAACACAAGGGTATTTTTTGTTTTGTTTTTTTTCCCCAAAATATAGTAAGCTTGATTCAGTCTTGCACTGAAATTAACTGCCATACTACCTCTTAGTATGTACATGTTCTGTGGAAAGTACTCTGTTGTAACAGGAGAATAATCGGATCCATCCAGTTTAGATTGTGGAAGTGAAGCGCCCTCCCTAGTAATTGTCTCCTCTCTGTTATATATTTGTATTTCTAGGGAGGATGTCCTTGTGTACCCAGGTTAACTCTGTACCAATATTCCTTTCAGAGTCTGCACCCCAGACTCTACTGCACAGTTCCAAAAGTCAAGGAGTAGTAATGACTGTCTTACTCACAAACTTGTATCAGAAGCTTATGTGATCTCACTGAAAATTCCCCCTGCAGTGGAGAAAATTAAGGCACATACAAGTACTGAAGAAACATAAGCTGCCCGAACTGATACCTGAAGTAACAAGGACTGTCAAAGTATTGGACAAGGATTTACTTTTGCTTGAAGTCACCCCTAATATGACAGGGGGTCTCATTCCATCACTTAAACTGGAAAGATTGGTGTGGATTTGAAACAAATGAGCAGAGGTACCTGTAGGAGAAAGAATGCAGCAGTATTTATTTAGAATAGAAGTGTTCCCGATTACTTAGTCATACTAGCGAGCCAGCCAAGTTTGAATAATGAAGATGCAGATGAGTCATCTTCCTCGCTGATGAGCTGTCTGAACAAGGAGCCAGGATGCATTGGGTCATCTGCTCTGGAGAGTTCCGGGGGACCAACCTGTCATTGGGATGTAGAGGAAGTGCCTTAGAGTCCACCGGAAGCCACCTGCCCGCTCCCCTGACACTCCATTCCATTCCGAGGCTACACAGCATACATAGCAGAGCTGAGAAGCGTGGATGACTCTACTAAGAGGAGTTTGCTGTTTGTCAGGACTGGAAAAGGACACGGGGAACAGCATGGGGTTTTATTATGTGACAACTAAAATTTGAGAATGAAGATTGTCCTAGGGAAATAACAAACACATACCTCCTTTCCATGGGTGTTCCTGTAGTAGGGACAGACTTTAGAGGCCAGCTGTGTGCTGTGGAAACTGTGGTGTTATAGAGGACGTTATAGCACAGGCCATGCTTGTGGGGCACGGGGTTTTGGCAAGAAGTCTTGTTTTTTTTTTAACTACTTCTCTCAGATTTTAAAAACCAGATGTTTGACAAGGATTTTAATGGCAGGGAATATGCAAAGGACACATTGCTAATGTTTTGTCTAACAATAAAGCAAACAACAACTAAATGCTGTGAGAAGTCAGGCTGTTCGAGCTCTCAAACACGCATACACAACAAAATTCAGAAATACCCAGGAGGACTCCTGCAGGCTTAATGGAGGCATCCTACTGAAACAAAATGTATATTAACAAGAAAATGTAAAACTTGAGGAAGCAAGCTTTTGTTTATTTTCCACCCAACTAAAAGAATGGAAGATTAAACCATCACCAGAACAAAAGGACTTTCTCCAAGTACAATCACAGTGGCAGTTGGCAATTAACTCTTACTCTACTAAATGCAAGGAACCATCTCCATCCTGTCTACATTTTCTACAGCCTTGCAGCTTGGGATCCATTTATATTATGAGGCTACTTGGTAGCGTCAGTGGGCATCTTTAAAACCTTCTATTAGCTCAAACCCGTACAACCTTGTATTTCTTGTGCCGCCATTAAAAGCAGCATTCGTGCATTTTGTCATTCAGTTATCAGTTTTTTCAAAGGGAGCTGATCGGGTGGCTTGGGAGATGGGACAGTCGACAGGGAAGACCCTTTTGCTCTTGGCACTAACCTGGGTTTTTGTTTCAGTGCTTCTGCTGGTTGATTTAGCCTTCCGAGTCCTTGTCATGCTCAGTGGAAGAAGTCCAAACCTGCAAGACGAGCAGAAAGAATTTCAGTGGCATGAAAAGGCAGCTTGGGGCCCAGCAAAGTCTCAAAATTGTTTACCTGATCTGACTTGATGCCAGTGGCAGAATGTTGTGGGGCTCCTGGGAGTTGAATGTGCCACTCCGGGGGGTGAACTGATTATCAGTGCCGGTAACCAAACCAAACAGAACCTGACAAAAGGACCACAGTAAAATGTGGGGCTTTGGCTGTCCAGATGGGAGAGGATGACCTCTGGGGACTGTTCTTTTCAGTGTGTTAATGCTTCAAATTACTTTTTATCACTGCCATCGATCAGAATCTCCTGGCAACAGTTTTTTTATTCCTCTTTCTGAGGCTTGGGTTTTTAATAATTTGTTATTACAAATAAAGGGATCACGATCATGGTACCCCAGTGTGTGGGATTTTATCTAACCCTCTTTTAGCCCTTATAACTGCACTCAGCTGTTTGTGTCTTGCCTCTTCCTAAGATTGCGTTCTGGAGTATTAAGTAAGGTAGAAGGTTGATTCTGCAGTTGGAGCCTGTGGCACTTATTTCTCACTGAGGCATCTGTGACCTGACTTACAGAAGTCCGCTGCACCAGGTGGTTAAGGTTGCTGTTGAAGTGTGGCGTGAAAACATCCAGGTCAAATGGATCGATGAGTGCCTCCAGATGGTCAGTCACTTTCTCAATCCTGAGAGGATTAAGACCATTATTTTCCACAAATTTTGAGGACAAGAAAACTGTCTTACTATATTTTATAGGTATGAAACCATGAAGTGGTTTTTGTTCAACTGAATTGCTGATAGGTACTTGTGTTATGGATGATCAACCTGCTGTGATGAAGTCAAGTCTGCGTCTTGTCCATGTTGTGTTTTTAGGAGGACCATTAAGAGCTCAAATTATACCCACCATTTGTGAGGTGGACTCAGTAATGAGGTTCCACCTGGTTCTCTTGACTACGGAATTTACCCAGCAGGCAGCCATTATCTGACTTGCTGGCAACACAAGCACTCACTGATAAAGACAAACCTTGAGGAGAATCCTGGAAGGAGCTACAGATGCCCCTTGACTACGGTGGGGCCACATCCCAAAAAACCCACCATGAGCTGAAGTATACATAAATTCACAGCTGAACATCATGGACCAGCAACACAGAATGTGGCACTGTGGGGGAGGGTCACATGTCATGGCCAGGGAGAGATCCAAATTCAAACTCTGAACTGCAGTTTCCACTGAATGCTTATTGCTTACCCACCACTGTAAAGTCAAAAAACCCCAAGACAGACCCTTGGAAGTGGGCAGTACTGGTACTTGCACTGCAAGAAGACTGCCTCAGGGAGCCCAGGGAGGGTATGACACCTGGAGTCTGGTTTGTTGCGGCCACTCTTCGCCTCCTCACTCTTGGCTGTCAGAACGATGCTGAGATAGCGCAGGTCATAGAGGAGCTGCAGTGCCCGGTTCTGGGTTACTGGGAATGCACCTTCTCTCTGCAAGTGAATTCCCACCCTGTTGAGAAGTGGCTCCTGTGGCACAGTGACCACCTGTGTGTTGTGAGTGGCCTCAGCGTGGTATGTCAGAAGCAGAGGCTGTACCCACTCGGGGCCAGTTTAATCTCACAACAGCATACTATGTTAAAAATTTCATCTTAAAGCCAAACGTGAAAAGTGCCAGCCCTAAAGGTCTCAGTGCTGTCGATGGGTTACTACAAAGGAACACGGCTTCCTGCACAAGGAGGTGGATGTGTGGGAGCCCAGGGACTTAATCAAATTCCTCCCAAACAAGGACTGTTACCTCTCAAAAATGTTGTGAATGGAATGGAATGGAACCTCATGCAAAGCAAGAGGGCGTGGAGACCCCCTTCAGTGAGCACTGCCATGTGCACAAGCTGTGCTTGTACCTGCCTCCCTCACAGTCACTGCCCTGCTCTGCTCTGGTGGGCACAGTGTGGGGTGTGCTCCATTTTATGGGTGAAGAAACCAGTTGAGCCGGTCAGCTACTGGTCACATTTGATGCTAAGGAAACAGGTTAATGATTGGCCCAAAGCTTGCCTGGTAAGAACTGGCAGTGCCAGGGTTGGAAGCTGGGCCTTTGATCCCGTGATGGCTTTTATCCTTTTGTCACCTGCCTTCTCCATGAAGACCTGTTTGACCCTTGAGTGTGGGTGGAAAATGGCAGAGCTGGAAGCCACTCCAAACCTATTAGTGCATATTTATGAAACCAGATGCCTGGGGTAGGTACTAAACACTTTGGACCCTGATGTGAACTGCTCAAGCCTAAAATCAGCTAAGGGTTTTAGTTTTTATTGGGAAAATACTCAGGCCCCTACCTTAATCTGCTTTTCTTCAGAAAGTTCCTCATAGGCAGCTACCACTTGAAACATGCAGCTTTTCAGCATCTCCTGCAGCGTCACCTTTGGCAAAGCATGACCTCCAACCCGATTAATTTCCTGGCATAAGCTGAACAGGAAGGACTGTACATACCAGGATGGCTGAAAGAACACAGAAATGTCATGTGCCAGCTTGCACCAGTTAAATGACCATTCATAGTAAAAGTGGGTCCATTTATCTTTACAAGGCACACACATGGGGACCGTGCCCTCTCTAATCAAGCATCTTACAAGCAGATCATTTAACAGACACAAAGTCCCTCGTTAAGTACTCCTTTCCATGGCCTGAGGTTGGCCTGGCTGTTGTTCTTTAAATAGCAAAGAGCCCATGCTACAAAAGGAAAGAATCATTTATTGACCTTTTTTTTTTTAATTGATTTTATTTTTTTAATACACAACCACAGTGGAATGCATTACAATCCTCATTACACGTATTGACCTCTTAAAACACTCTGCTATTGAAGTGGTGCTACATCCACTTTGCCCCCACAGTAAAGTGAACTTTACTTTCAGTTACTCCTCGGAAACTGCAGTGTTGAATGATTTTCTAAAATTGTTTTGCTTCCCCCAAAGCAGTTCTATTCCTTTTTTAGCCCAGGTCCCTGTGATAAATGGCATGTGCTTACCTGTGTAGGAAGTCTGATCTTCGATGTGACGCTGCTGCCAGACTCTGTCTCCTCTTGAATTTCTAATTCATCCCAGTTGGTAGCTGTGGCCAGGACTGAACCGGCATCATCTAAAAGCAATGACTGGGTGAATCCATGAATCAGAACCTGGTGATAAAAAGTGAATGTCCACATAAGTCCTTCAGGGCTTTTGTAGGGTTTGTTTAGAAGTCTCAGCACACTCCTGGGGGTTGGGTGTGGGATGCCAAGTGGCCAGCACCTCTCCCCTTTGGCCAGTGCCATGATCAGCAGTGGGAATGTGGTTGCTGGCCTCCCTACTAATGTCAAATGTCATCTGTAAAAGACCAGTAGAGACTGAAGGAATTATGGCATTTACATGGAAGACCTGGAAATATGGACCTTCACCCAGACAGAAAGCCTTTCATTTCCATCCAATGGAAGGTAAAAATGCAGGGTTTCTGTCTACAAAATCTAGGCTGAAAACAAATGCAAGGTTTTATTGAGCCATATGGCAGAAATAAGGACAAAGTAACTATATGAGATGAGCATCATTATTCCCTTCCTATTGAAGCACCTTCACAGGTCAGCAAGACTAAAGCATGAGAAAGGGAAGGTAAACCAGGTATCCTATGGAGTCCCATCACTCACCTTCACGACCGCTGAGCTCCAGACCCGGTAGCCCATCACACTCTGCTGGAGGAGTACATCTTTAACTTCCTGCCATTTGGCCTGTACAGGAAGGATTTCCTGGGCTTTGCTCTTCCCCTGCTTTTTCAGAGCCCTAGCCTCCCTTGATGGTTTGTCAGAGCTCCTGGACTTTCCCACAATACACTGTTTCAGGTGGGGGCACAGTTCTCCTAGAGACTGGCAGAGTCTGGCCATGAAAAGCACGGCGTGCAGCTTGGTGCCTTGGAGCACATCCTGCTGGCCTTGCACAACTTCCTCAATGTTCTGCAGCTCCACCTGGATGCCATCTAGGATGTGCTTGATGCATGCCACCGAGTGCGTCTGCAGCATGGCCTGCACAGTCCCAGCATCTGCATATCTGTCAAAGGCAGAGCTCTTGGTCTGAGTGGGGACAGCATCCTTGGGCAGAGGCACATCATCAGAGGGAAGGTAAGCCAGGAGGTCATCCAATTTAACCTTCAGTTTGGAATCTAGGGCAGAGCAGAAGTTCTGTACATAAGGACTGATAGCTTGGGCTTTCATTGAGAGGCCACTACTGGCAAACTGACCCCGGTTTGCCACATTAACCCAGGCAGCATCTGGAGGCAGGTCACTGGGACTCTCTGACCAGAGGAAGACAGACATGTTCTGCTCAAAGTGGATGTGCTTATTTGATGTGGAGTTGCTGGTGCTGCTCTCAAGCTCCTGCAAAGCTGAGACCAGGAGTTCTTTGGAGCTCCTGGAGATGGATTCAAAGCCTTCTTTTGTCAGAGTCTAAAAGAGAATGAGAAGAGAATGTGAAGACCCTTCATGCTCTTCACATACATAAGCAGGTTGGTGATTCTGTTTTGGATGTCTTCACAAGATCATTCTTTTCCCTTTTTTTGTGCTACTGGGGAGTGACCCCAGGGGCACTCTCCCACCAAATTACATCAGCCCCCCTTTTGAGAGTTCTGATCCCTATTTCTTTAAGGAAATTTCAAAACAAGAGTTACCAAAATCAGAATTTATCCCAGCAATCAGAATGTTCTTCATGTTCAGGAAGCTGACATGGTGTAGCAGAGAATAAAGATGCCAAGACTGATGGACATGGGCTCACTTCTGGCCACCTCACCAGGCCCAAGGCCTGGTGTCTTTTTTAGCTCTAGAACCTGGCTGAGTTAATAAGTAGGGAAAGAAGGCACTTGTGACATAAGACTCCTAAGACAGTCACCAGACCACATTAGGGTTGGCTGTGAAATTATGGCCCATGTGATTTTCCACCTTACCTGTAACCGGTCCAGGAAGAGCTGCTGCATCATGTCCTCCCAGAATAAGAGTGGCCTCTCCAGAAGCCGCTGACACACCACCTCCCAGTTGTGACTGGTGGACTCATTGGTAAGTAACTCCCACATGGCATCTCGGATCCCTGCAAGACCCTTCATGCTCTTCACATACATAAGCAGGTTGGTGATCCCGTTTTTGATGTCTTCGTTACACCTGCAACAAGATCATTCTTTTTCCTTTTTGGTGATACTGGGGAGTGACCCCAGGGGCACTCTCCCACCAAGCTACATCAGCCCCCACTTTTGAGAAGGGTCTAAATTGCCCAAGCTGGCTTCAAGCTTGAAATTCTTCTGCCTCGGTTTCCCGAGTAGCTGGGATTACAGGCATGTGCCACTGTGTCCAACAGATCATTTCTGTGTCCCCTGGGCTCATTTTCTTTGGGGTTCTTATATCTTTAATAAGAAAAGCACAAAGATCCCATTTGAAAACCATATCTGTCAATCTATCAATATAGCACGATTCTGGCTGGACTCGGGTATGGAGACTGGTCTCTCACCAAGCCCACTCTTGCTTCACTGGGGTATGGGAGGAAGTCCGGTGTTCCATGGAATGGCTTCAAAAATCAGTGTGTTAAAAACAAGCTTAGGGGCTGCAGAACTCTTATACTAAGAGAATTTAAAAGCCTCTGCATAATATTTTCAAAGACAAATTGTTCCTTGTTTCTCCCCAGGTGAGGTGGTAAGTGGCCATGAAGGCAGGAACAGCCCAAGTGAGCAGTGGCCATGTGGCACATCTCCCTCTCCTCACTGACCCTGTATGGCTATGTCCAAGGATGCCATGGGGTGAGCCAACCTCAGGCCACTCACATGTGGATCCATTTCTGCAGCGTGTCTCTCAGGTACTCCTGGCTGATGGGGTGTGCAAGGGTTCGGAGTGCTGGCTGGAACTCGATGACGGATGCTGGCAGGCGTCTGAACCAGCTGCAGAGCTTCATCTCCCCTTTCAGAACACTGATGCCCTTTCCTAGAGAAAAGGCTGCGTGAGAAGCAACCCAGGCCATACTTTGAATAGCATATTAAAAATGGACCTAGAAGAAATTTCCAAAAAATTATTTCGTTTTTCTCTGGGTAGGTCAAACAACCCCTGAAATAGGGAGAAAAAGAAGGTATAGCATGCATCCAGACCTTCCCTCATCAAGGGGTGTGGCAGCTTCCCTAAACTCTATTGGTTGAAAAGAATGGCAAAGGTCAGGAAGGGAAGGAATCAGGTAGAAAGAGCAGAGGGGAAAAAATGAGTGCTGAGCAGTCCTTATCTTTGGGTTTTTTCCCTTGAGATGAGGTCTCATTATATCGCTCGGGCTGGCCTTAAACCCTGGACCCCAGAGGTCTTCCGGCTTCAGCCTCCTACACACCTGGGACTAGAGGTGTATGCCACCATGCCTGGCAGTCCTTGACATTTTAAAAAAGTAGAACTTAAGTTTTCATGAAAGTATAAGCTGGTTATTTCCCTTTCCTCCTCCTCCTCCTCCTGCTTCCCTTGAGGATCTAAGTGGAGAAGTGCTGACCGCCCACCTTGATGAGTGAGTCACCTGCAGCTCTGCAGAGGCCTGTGCTGTACAGTGCTGGGAGGTGCTGCTCACTGATTTTGTACACAAGGCCCTTCTGCAGTCCCTTGTACTTCTGTTTTCCAATGTCATAACAGATTAGCCGATACTCACCTTTAGTGACTATTAAAATATTGAATGTAAGCAGCTGGAGGGACACCAAGGCATGAGAAGTGGTGCCTTTACTGAGAGGCAAAGTTACTCAAAGATGGCCCCATATGACACTCCTGTCCCCCTCTGGAAATGACCAGCTGGCCATAATACTCCATTCCACCTTTGTCTCTATTTCCTCAGTCAATTTTGCTGACACCTCCATCTGATCTTGGAGTCCTAGAGTTCCATGAGGGACCATCTTCCATCATTTTCTTTGCTTACTGATGGTGGCATCCATTCTCATGGCTTAAAATAACTGCCACAGGCAGAAGCACTGCATGTAGTGTCCACCTAGCCCTTGCACTGCTATGTTCTGAGACCAATCACCCTCTTATCCCCTAGTTCCATTCCAAGGTCTCAGTTGTCTCCAAGGTGATTTTCATGTGAACTATCACCAGTCCCTTCAAACCAGTTCCTTTGGATACCTCCTTTCCCACACCCTATACATCACCAAATCCCTCCTCAACAGATATCTGAGCTGTCCAATGAGTTCCATCTCTATGCTCCCTCCTAACCCAAGCTCCAGTGGCTGAACCCTAGACCACAGTGATAGCCTTCTAAGTGAGTTCAGCATCCCTTACCCCATGGGACTCTACTACTAACTACATAAAAGCCAATGCATTTATTTAATTACAGTTGGGACAAATGCTAACCAAAGATGTAAGGGATATGTGGGAAATAGAAGGACCACACCAAGCTTGGAAAGTCTCTGAAGGCTAGCCACTATTCTCTGGTTAGAGTCCAAACTCAAGCTTGGCCCATAAGGCTTAGCATTACCTGGCCCCACTTCCTTCTCCTGCTATCTTCCTTGTCACCCACTAAACCTCAGCCTCACTGGCTTTCTTTAGTTCCTCAATACACTAACATCCTCCTTGCCTCAGGACTCTGCACACCCTGTCCCTTTGCCCAGAACTCTCTTCCTGCGGTCTTCACCTAAATAACTCTAATTCAACCTTCAGCTTTGAGTTTAAAGACCATTTCACCTGGGAAGCCATCTCTGAACTTGGTGAGTTCCTTCCATTCAGTGTTCCCAAGGCATCTTGTACTGTGCATTAACAGCACTGACCAGTGTTGACTCACACTTCTGAGTTCAGTACTTGCCTTACTAGACTGTGACCTCCATAAAGGGAGAGTCCATATTTGTCCAGTTCACTGTGCTATCCCTAGAGTTTTAGCACATGGCTGGGTAGTTGAATGGACCAGGAAAAACGGCTGGTTACGAGCTCACCAGTAGGGTGCTGGCCTGTGATGGTCTCCAGAGTAGAGAAGAGCAAGCCACATGGCAGGGATGGATCTGGCAGCAGACCTTCTGGCAAAGTGTAGAAAAGGGCATGAGCCTGGTTCAAAGTGGTGGCCAGCAACTCCACTAAAGAGCAAATCTGGGCCTTGATGCCAGCACCTATGAGAAGATGTCATCTTTTAAACAGTTTTCTTTTAGTAAAGAACAGATCAGGGCTGGGGGTATAGCTCAGTGGTAGAGTGCTGGCCAAGCACATGTGAGGCACTGAGTTCAATCCTCCACACCACATCAAAATAAATAAATAAAGGTATTGTGCTCATCTACATCTAAAAAAAAAGAAATTAAAAAAACAAAAACAAAAACCAGATCACTCTGGATACCTGTTTCCCTGAGCTCACCCTTCTCCACCCCATGCTTAAGGAACAAACTTTGGAAAGAAGCCACACCTACCATGGTGTGGCTGGTTGAGAAGTTTCTGAATAGTTGTCTTTCTGGCCAACAGGAAGTCGGTGAGGGCTTGGCGGGGAGAACTCTCTTCTAAGAGCATTATAGAGCAGAGGGCCTCAGCTATAGCTTGGTCAGACACAGCTTGGCATTTGAGTAGCATCTTGCTTTCGTGCAGAATGGTTGATCTAACAAGATGACAAAGGTCAACATGGAAATTTTTACCATCTTGAATGAAAAGCCATGGAAAGAAAGAAGACAGATCCCATAAAACTGTAGTGATGAGGCCTGGCCATCACAGAGATCTTTATGTCAGATCCACTTACCGGAAGTGGCTGGCTGCTGCTACCTGCCGGATGAGTATAGGAAATCGGGAAAGGATGGGGTTGTATCGGGAACTAGAAGAATCCAGCTGGAGCAGACTGTGAAGGTGGCAGCAGAGCAGGTAGAGCTGTGTGGCATGGAGATACTGAGAGGCTTCCATGAAGCTCCAGATCTTCTCAGGGATTTCTAAGAGTAGTTTGATCTGGGCAGCCATGCTGTAGAACTTCTCCTGGGATGGTGGCTGTGGCTGTAGGAAAGGGCAGAATAAAGTCAGAAGAGCAAACAAAAGCGAGGTCAGTGTCCTGCACTTGGGGAGTTTTAGGACTTAAAGCTTTCTTTAAGTTGAACTCAGTGCTATTCAGAAGGCATCAGGTCTGATGAAAACCTTTATCTCGCCCTCTGGTTATCAGTGATTCTCTTGACTTCTTGAAATCAGGGAGGGGGGCGGCGGTGGTGGTGTAACGATAGGTGAGCTTCCTCCTTCCTTCCCTTGTGTCCAGCCTTCCTACTGTTTTTCCTGCTTCTGTGAAGGGCACTATGCGCTTGGCTGACTGCTCTTTTTCACCAACCCTGCACCAAATATTTGTCTGCTTCAGTCTTCAGTCCTCTCCTCTTCCCATCTACCTGCTCACTTCAAGCATCCCCCATGAAGGGACTGGTGCCCTATAAAATTAGCCTAGCCCCTTTTAAACTCTTGTGCTTTCTGCCATGTGACGGTGCAGCAGGAGGATCCTCACCACACATCAAATGCCATCATCTTGACTTTGGACTTCCCAGGCCCTAGAACTGTGAGAAAAGTATGTCATCACGAATTACCCAATCCCAAGTATGTTGTTAATAGCAGCATACTGGACTAGACAGCCACACTGCAAATCTCATCTGTCCTTAAGAATCCTCAGTAAGGCACTGAGAAGCCTACAGTTACTTCCTTCAGAACTGTTAAAGTAAATGGACACAATTATTTTGGGAATTAGTCACCTTTACCTTAAAATGTTTTCAACTGCTCTTCTAAATTATTTACATTTTTCCTGACAACTTTCCATGGCTTAATTTCCTTGCCTAGAATGTAAGCTTCTTCAGAGCAGGAATTGGGTGAAGTGAACAGAGAAGGTTCTCAAATTTTGTGTTTGACCAAGAATAAATTAGATGTAACTATGAAAATCAATACATTTCCAAAATCAGGCATAATACCAGTTAGCCTTTTAATAAGCCTGGAAACACGCCTCAGTCACAGCCAAGTCTGGCTATCTGTGTGTGGAGGGGGGCACAGCTTAGGGAGGGGTGGGGTCACTGATTTAAAAAGCACAAGGGCTTTCCAACCTTCCGTGTATTGTTCTAGAGTGATACCCCAGTCTGCTGGCCTGGATTTCTCTGGAACCCAGGGAACACGATAAAGTTTCAAACGGGAGCTGACTGTACTTTGGCGTGTCTTCTTCCATGTTGCAGGAAGCCTCTCCCAGGTTATGACAGAGTTCCCTGTTAACCTGTTCTACCCTCTATGCTCTTCTGCTTGGTTCATCCCTAGGTCGCCCTCCTTTAAGGAGGCAAGCTGCTGCTGCTCAGGATGTCCACCGCCCGTCCTTCCACATGGGGTGCGAACATTGGCGTGGGGGACGAAGTCAGGATGGCCTAATCGAGCCTGCGCTCCCTGGGATGAAAACGTTCGCGCTGGGCGGCCCTCCAACCCCGCAGGGCTGGGGCAGCTCTTCGGCCCTGGGGAAGGTGCTGGGGGCGGGACGCGGGGAGAGGCATCTGCTCCCTGAAACCCGGCGTCCGGAGGCGGGGTGCGTGGCGGAGCCCAGCCGTCGGGAGACCCCTTGCGTCCCTGCGAGACCGAGCGAGCGCGGCGAGGACTCACGGCCCTAGCGAGCGCCCCGGCCGGCGGCTCCGGGAAGGTGAGGGCGCGGGGGGCGGGCGCACCTTCGGGGCGCGCGGGGGCCGCGGCCAGCCGGCCTGGCGCAGGCGGGCGCAGTACTGGTCGGTGGCCTTCACGGCGTCCACCAGCCCCTCAGCGCAGCGGCGCATCTGCCCGATGGTGTCGGCCGCCTCGATCAGGTCGCGGTACCGCTCTCCCACCATCTGCCGCAGCTCCTCCTTCTTGTGCTCGATCTCGGCCCGAACCTGGCGCTCCAGCCCGCGGATCTCCTCAGCTCCATGAGTCTCGAAAAGCGCCGCGGGGTCGCGCAGATCCAGTCGCTTCAACGCCGGGGAGGCGGCCGCAGACGCCATGGTGCACTGGTCAGCCGGCCGACGGCCGCTTCCGCTGCCAGCCCCGCCCCGCCGCCATCTTTGATAGGGGCGGCCGCGCTTCCGCTCCGCCGGGAGCCCTGTTTGTTCCGGGCTTCCGGGGCTGAAGGGCGGGCGGGCGCGGCGGAGCGGTGCCGGCCCTCTGCGTTTTCTCGGGAGGTCTGGGCTGTTGAGCGGGTGTCGGGGGTCGCCCGGGTGCCAGCTGGTCAGAGCCTTACGGCGATCTGGGATCTTTCGTCCTTGGAGAAGAGCTTTGCGGTCGAGTTAGTTAATAAGCTCGAGATAACGTAATTAATGTAATTATCGTAATTAAAGGCGGCCTGACGGCGACGCCTCGGCGCTCGCCTCTGCAGGGCGGTCGCAGCGCCGGGGCGGGTTCTCGCGTCCTGCGACCGCGCACCTCCTTCCCCGCCGCGGGCTGGGGCGCGCGGGGCGGCGGGCCCGACCTGGCCGGTCCGCTCCAGGGCAGCCGAGGAAGAGCAGAGCCGCCCCTGCTCGTGGGGATGCTCGGCCTCAGAGAAGGCCTGCAGGGCGGCCTGGTGCCGTCGGGCGTCTGCGGGCCCCTGTCACGGGGGCTTCTGGCCGTCCGTGTGTAGCCCCCAGAGGTGTGTCCGCCGCAGCCTCCCGCAGGGAAGGAGGGCCGTGGGCCGAAGACTGCACTGCCTGCCGAGGGATGGGGTGAGGACCCTAGTGCTGACCCAGGTCGATGGAACAGGAGGCCGTTGGTCACCTTCTCCCAAGCCAGAGTTTATCCTGGAGATTTCGTGGTCACGAGAAGAGGTGCCCACTACAGTGTCTGTCTCATGGTCAGGGCATCTACAGCCCTCCCAATTTCCTCTCCCACCCACCACTTCTGTTATTTTGAGGTAAATCCCAGACATCAAAAATCAGTAAGTAATAAGGTTGTGATATTCTAGTGTCCCTCACCGGACCCCTGCCACGTGGGGAGTGGCATTCTCACCTTACAGATGGTTAACCCAAGGCTGAGAGGCAAAGGGACTTACTCAATACTGTTCTCAAAGCCTGTCCTCCGAATCATCTAATTTTATATACACATCAGCTCTGCAATATAGGTAGAAAAATATTCCTATTCTTTGCATCACTAAAACCCAGAGAAGTTTATTTACCTGCCCAAGCCACATAGTTTGTAAGTGACAAGTCAACACTTGTGTCTACATTTTTTGGCTCTTAAGCTTTTCTACTTTCCCAATTTGCCCCAAACCTAGAATGCCCTCTGGTGGTGGGGCTGTGTTTCTGTAATCCCAGTCTGGAGGCGCAAATGACCTTACTCTGCTGGCCAGCATCTGCCAAATCTCTTTTGTGACTAGGGGATTCATGTCTGCCTGGCAAGGTCTTTTCCCAGAACTCCTTATGGCTGTGGTGCAAGAATGTGCCTGGGACTTTGATGTCAAAGGCAAGGAGGAGGGTGGCAATTTCATTCTGCTGATTGGTGCTGGTATTCTGCCACAGTCTGGCTGGGCACAATCAGGAGCCACTTGTCAAAAGAAACTAACTTTATTTTTAGAACCACACACGCCAAACAAAACAGCCTCTCAGGAAAAACCCTCAGAGCCCCAACTGCCACCACCGGCTTTCCACAAGCCTCTCTCTCCCACACAAGCTTCTCCCCACCTCCCACAATCCTCCTGCTCTTGAGGCCGATTGGCTGGGTCACGTGGGCAGAGCCAAAAAAGTCCCCCAATGAGCAGCTCAGTGGTCTGAAAGGGCAGGGAAACAGCCCAATGAGCATCACTGCAGAGGAGCCAATCAGCTAGATGTTGCTGGGCCGCTGTGAGCCAATCATCAGCAGGCAGCTGGAAGTTTGCTGGGGCCCCTTCGGCTGTGGCTCTCAACAGTATTCTCTGTAGCATCCCCTCCCCAGCAGCAGCTCCCAGGTGCCAAATGTTGGAGACAGGTGTGGGTATCCACAAAGATGTCCTCCCCAGAATCATCCTGTGCTATGCTTTGATTGGGCTCTAAATCAAAGAACATCCCTTTGTTCCTACCTGTCCCCTTAACTGGTTCCCCAACATTCCCAGAATTTCCATGAGCTGTCCAATGTCTTGTGGATAAACTTCATTTCTTTAAAAATCAAAACTGTTGTGTGTAGCTTGCCTTAGAGACTGACACCTGCCCCTGAGCTTCCAGCTCTGTATTTTCTGAGGTCTTTCCAACAGCATGTGGGGAAATGCCAAGATATCAGAGTGTGGAGCCTGGGGCTTTGTGTGAGGTGGCTTGAACTTGTGCACAATACCTGCAGTTTTCATGTAGAACTGAGGCCAGCTGCCAGATGATTGTCCTCACCAGCCAGTGTGTTCTAAAACCAAGGCTTGCTCTCCCTGCCTGTCTTCTGGTTTCCCTGGCCAAGTTCATCCGACTGCCCTGAAGATGCCACTGTTGCTCCTCTCCCAGCAGAACTGAACAGTGGTGGAGGCTGTCGAGAACTTTCTTTTTCTGAGGCTTGGAGCAAATGTGCTCTTAGCTCCTGGCCCCAGAAGCCTCCTTTCCCTTCCCTTGCATCCTGAGAGCAGCCCTTCCTTCTGCACATCAGCCAGAACTATCGGGGAACAGTCAAAGAGCTCATATGTATCAGCTGGACCAAGCCCTGAGCTAGGGACAGAGGAACAGAGATGAGGAACTAGTCCTTTTACTTAAGGTGTTAGGAGGTCCACAAGTATTGCTATAGTTTAGTTTTGGTGTAGAGATGAGTGCAGGTGTGTAATGAATGATTCTTCATGTCAGCCTGCCTTTCTTTTACCTTAGATCTTTAGTTGCAGAATTAAACATGAGATGTTTAGCAGCTTACGTTTAGATCATTCTGGGCCCCAAAATCAAGTCTTGTCATTCTGTTCATTATAACTATGATTTTGAGCATGTGGGCATCTGCACATAATAATAACAATAATACTTACATAACACAATAACAATAATCCTGTGTGCAAGTAGGGTGGCAGTCATTGTATAGTTAAAACGAGGGTTCATCAGGACCAGGTAACCTGTGGGAGGTCATAGAAGCAGGTCAACAGCCAGCCTGTCTTCAGATCGAAGTCAGCCTGACTCTAGAAGCCCTTGATCTTTCCACTTTGTTGCACGATTAGCTTCAAAGAAAATTTCAGAATATCAGGAGACAGATGGCCCAGACAATTATGAGCAATGTTCAGATGGTTCCGAGGCTGCTGCCTGCCTGAGAGTGGGCCCCTAGTCATGCAGGCAATTTGGGGACTCAAGCTGGAGTGGATTGGCTAGGGGCTTGGGGGCAACTGTCATATGGGGTGGCCATGCTAGTAGCCAAGTGTGGGCATCCTGGAGAACTCTTTCAGAACTGGAGATCCATTCTGGCATTTTTGCTTTTCCTAGGCCTGTCAGTGCAGACTGTCAGTATTATCTCATTCAGAATGTCGAGGGGACATACTCCTTGTTTTTTTTTTTTTTTTTTTTTTTTTAAAGAGAGGAGAGAGAGAGATATATAATTTTTTAAATATTTATTTTTTAGTTTTCGGCAGACACAACATCTTTGTTTGTATGTGGTGCTGAGGATCGAACCCGGGCCGCACACGTGCCAGGCGATCCCGCTACCGCTTGAGCCACATCCCCAGCCCAGCTCCTTGCTTTTTAATAGAAACACAGAAAGTAAGCCAGAGTAATGCTTAAAATAGCAGAGTTTTGCCATATTTGAATATCAACTGTCTTCCAAAGGCCCACGTATTAAAGGCTTGGTTTCTAGGGTGATACTTCAGGAGGTGGTTGGGCCTTTAAGAGGTGGCATCTGGTGGGAAGCCTTAGATCACTGGAGGTGGCCCCCTGCTCCCCTTCTTGCTCCCTCTTTGCTTCATGGCCATGAGGTGCATGGCTTTGCCTTGCCACATGCTGCCCTGGCTCTCCACGGGCTCAAGGTGATGGCTCAACTGATCCTGGGCTGAAACCTCCAGAACTGAGCCAAAATGAACCATTTCTCCTATAAGTTAATGGCCTCAGATGTTTGTCATAGTGACGGGTCACTGATAAATACAGGTGTGTAACAGGCTTTTGTAGGCACCACACATTCCTCCTTTGTGCAGGGTGTGGTCCATCATTGGAGAAAGGGTTCCATAGGCTGTGGTTCTGGTACCAAATAATTCAGCCCATATTTGCAAAATGTCATGCACATATGTGACATAATCACAGTATCTGCATAAAAGATGCATTGGAAAAGGTATGTCTTCCAACACAACGTGCTTTTATATTTGAAATATTAAAAACAATTATCACCCGTATCCCACCCATTTAACCCTTGACCCTATGCTTCTTGGACATAAGGGGGCTGCATGTTTGCATGTCCCCGGGCTCTGATGATGGAGGGAGCTGTGTTCTGTGGTAGAGTTGGGGCGGAGAGTGGGCTGGGCCACCCAGAGAAGAGATGACACACGGGAGACACAAAATTACTTAGGAAAATGAAAATAAGAAATCTAACTTCAGGAAGGGAGAAGGTTACAAAGGAAAACAGGAAAGGAATGTGATCACTAACGGGAAGGAGGGTGAGGAAGGTGGGAAACGAGGTGCAGTAAAGGCCGGACCGTCAGTGGAAGTCGCGATGGGCTGGACCAAGGTGGAGATGTGCACCACTGCCCTGTGGGGTTCAGATGTTTGGTGTTTCCCCCTGGTGAGATGCCAGTGACATCGAGGGCATAATGTAGTTGTCTTGACATTTTATCTTTATGGCACTGTTTATCAGCCTGTGTCTACTGGAGGTGACATTTGTGGTAGAAGGGGCGGTTATTTGACTTCACTGTTTGCAGATACCTGAGACCCTGCCTTCTACAAACAGCCAGGCAGGCGCTGCACCCGAGGAGGGAGCCTGCGAGTCTGGCTTCACACCACCTCACCACCCTGACTCAAGGACCATGGCCAAGCTCACCCCCAGATGCTGTGTCCTTCACCAGTGTGTAGCTGAGTCCCTCCTGTGTTGCCCAGCTCTGTGCTGGGGGGCAGGGAACCAAGGGTGTTAACCGAAGCTCTGATTCCGCAGCAGGTGCTTCTTCT